AAAAAAAAAAAAATAAAAAAAATAAAACACAGGTTACTGACCCCACATCTGCAGTTTCTGATTCAGTAAATTGGGGGTGGGATTACAGAATTTGCAGTTTTTACAAGCTCCCATATGGTGCTGATGTTGCTGGTCTTGGGACACACTTTGAGAATCACTAAAATAGAGAGGTTCCAAAGGGAAATGATGCCACAATTTTAAAGATGGTTATGGGCCGGCCCCATGGCTTAGCGGTTAAGCGCGTGCGCTCCGCTGCTGGCGGCCAGGGTTCGGATCCTGGGCGCGCACTGACGCACCGGTTCTCCGGCCATGCTGAGGCCGTGTCCCACATACAGCAACTAGAAGGATGTGCAGCTATGACAGACAACTATCTACTGGGGCTTTGGGGGAAAAAATAAATAAATAAAATTAAAGATGGTTAAAATGGGCCTTATTGAGATGGTGACCTGTGAGTGAAGACTGGAAGGGAGGGAGTTGGTCATGTGAATATCTGGAGGAACAGCTCCCTGTGTAAGAGCCCTGAGATTGGAGTGTGCCTCCTGCGTTTAAGGGCAACGAGGAGACCAGTGCAGCTGGAGCTGAGTGAGTGAAGAAGAATAGAAGGTTGAGGCCAAGGAGGTACAGGAGTCTGGCTGGTATAGGGCTTTGTAGGGCATCCAGAGGATTTGGGAGTCTTCAGCATAGGGGTAGTATTTAAAGCCTTAAGACTGGATGAGATTGGCGAAGGAAAAGCAAAGCGATTGCATGATTCCAGGCATAGGACGGTGGGGCCATCAACTAAGACACACTGGGAACTGGAAAGCTTGGATGACTCTAAGAGACATTTTGAAGCAAGGAACAATAGAATGTAGTGACAGCACAAGGGGGATGACTGACGGAAAAAAGTCAAAGGTGATAACTTGACTTCACTTTTATAACTGAAGAGAGAAGAGAGATATGGAAAAGAAAGGTCAGAGGGAGAGTATTAGAAAGAGGCTTCGGCATTTCTGAAAAATAATAATAAGTAACAATTCCCTGTTTATCTTATTACCTTATGAAAATGATTAGTACTAAGAAAATTCAAGGGGCCGGCCCAGTGGTGCAAGTGGTTAAGTGAGCGCGCTCCACTGCGGTGGCCCGGGGTTCACCAGGTCAGATCCCGGGCGCGCACCGACACACTGCTTGTTAAGCCATGCTGTGGTGGCATCCCATAGAAAGTAGAGGAAGATGGGCATGGTTGTTAGCCCAGGGCCAGTCTTCCTCAGCAAAAAAAAAAAAGGGGAAGGATTGGCATCGGATGTTAGCTCAGGGCTGGTCTTCCACACAAAAAAAAAAAGAAAAAAGAAAATTCAAGTATGACTTGTAATTCACTTTTTATTACAATGTTTCAGTGAAAAAACTGTAAATATTTACATTAATATTTTTAGATAACATCTTTTTTTTTGTTTTTTGAGGAAGATTAGCCCTGAGCTAACATCCGATGCCAATCCTCCTCTTTTTGCTGAGGAAGATTGGCCCTGGGCTAACATCCGTGCCCATCTTCCTCTGCTTTATGTGGGACGCCACCACAGCATGGCTTGACAAGCGGTGTGTCACTGTGCACCCGGGATCCAAACCTGTGAACCCCGGGCCGCCGCAGCAGAGCTCGTGCACTTAACCACTACACCACCGGGCCAGACCCCTAAACAACATCTTAAAACAATTTTTGGGTACTAACGTTCTGGCATCCTAAAAATATTCAAAACTATTATTTTTTAAAATAGGAAAATGGACGCTGTATTACTAAGCTGGAAAACATGGGGTTTCGAGTGGGACAAGGATTGCTAGAAAGGTGAGCAGTATGGATTTGAAAATTTTCTTCCAGGTAGGTGATGAACAAAGGTGATCCATTTCAAAGATAGCGTAAATCTTGAGATCCCTTAATTTTAATTCCCAAATTTTATTTACTGTCTGTTTTAATTCACAGATTGAAATTTCTTTTTAGGTCTGATGCTATTTTAACTCAGTTATCCAACTTTTATGTTTTAGTATTTGAAGAAAATATATATATTATATGTTTCAGACTTTTTTTCCCTGAAAACTTTGATGTACTGAAACAACTATCTAAAATCTTGTTGCATTTCCTACCTAAGGTCTAGTGGGTTCTTTAACCTAAATGGAATTTTGTTTAAACACATAGGGATGGAAATGCCTTAGAGGCTATGGTCATGCATGTAATAATCTTCCAATTTATAGGTCAATTCTTTTTAGTATTCCTTTCCCACTATCTGAATAGTTGAACTCTGATTATATTCTATGGAACAGGATTGTGAGCTTGCTCAGTTTTTTTTTTTTTTAATGTGCTGGAGTGAATTGTACCTAAAATTGCGGCTTACTGTTGAAATATACTGTTAGACTAATTCTAGCCTCATAATTATATAACAGAATGTGAATCCATTGAGATGGGATCTACTTTGCTTTGTGCTTATCACTTTATGACTGTCAGTAAATGTTCAGTGCTGTTCTGGCATTTGGAAACTAGTGAATGATTTGCCCCTCTTGCTTTCTTTGGAGGAAAAATACTGTATTACTTCTAGTTGATCTTTTTAGGTTTACAAAAGATACTGCAAGGTTCAAAGATGAGTTAGATATCATGAAGTTCATTTGTAAAGATTTTTGGACTACGGTATTCAAGAAACAAATCGACAATCTAAGGACAAATCATCAGGTATTTAGATAAATTAAGGCCTATTTTTTTAAGTCCTTTAACTTAATATAAATGTCCTATTTTAGTGATTTACTTGTTATATAAAACTTTAAATAATTTCTAGTCAACTTTGGAATATTTCTGTTATATGTTATTAATATGTCATTACTTTTTTTCTCTGATAGGGAATCGTGAATAAAGACAGGGACAATTATTAGTAATGACAGCTCTTCCTTTCCTCCAGTTAAATAAGTTATTTTAAGTTATCAGAAGTAGCAAATGTCAGAATGATAAAGGCTTTAGGATTTGGTTCCTTAGTTATTATTACTTAGTGGTGATAATAGATAGAACCACGAATATATCACATTTATGTCTTTAGAATAATTTCTCGAGTCTAATTTATGGAGCATATTTGACTCTAAATAACTATTCCATTCTTTAGTTGCTGTCATATTTTCTATTCTTAAAATATTTTAATGTAAAAATTAATAGATTGCATGGAAAATTATATATTTAAATAGATTTATTTTATTTTATAAAACTCAAGAGGGCTGGCCTGGTGGCTTAGCGGTTAAGTGCATGCGCTCCGCTACTGGCGGCCCAGGTTCGGATCCCGGGCGCGCACCAACGCACCGCTTGTCCAGTCATGCTGAGGCCGTGTCCCACATATAGCAACTAGAAGGATGTGCAACTATGACATAAAACTATCTACTGGGGCTTTGGGGAGGAAAAAAAGGAGGAGGATTGGCACTAGATGTTAGCTCAGAGCCGGTCTTCCTCAGCAGAAAGAGGAGGGTTGGCATGGATGTTAGCTCAGGACTGATCTTCCTCACAAAAAAATAAAAAATAAAAAAAATAAAACTCAAGAAAATATTTAGAGTGGATTTGGCATTTTGATTACATATAGAAAATGAAAATAATGTATCTAGTACCTATCAATAGAATTCATTTTTTTATATAACAGCGTCAACCTTAGCTTGGAAGTACTTGATAATTTTATTTATTTATTTATTTTTTCCCCCAAAGCCCCAGTAGATAGTTGTATGTCATAGCTGCACATCCTTCTAGTTGCTGTATGTGGGACGCGGCCTCAGCATGGCCAGAGAAGCGGTGTGTCGGTGCACACCCAGGATCCGAACCTGGGCTGCCAGCAGCGGAGCGCACGCACTCAACTGCTAAGCCATGGGGCCGGCCAGCTTGGAAGTACTTGAAATGCTATTGGGAAGAAGTGACTCTGATTATTGGCTTTCTAGATATGAGTTAATAATTTATAACTGCTAATTTCACCTGGACATGTATTTCTGATTCCTTTGCACTCGACTGTGAGTTCTTTAAGGATAGGAACTGTGTCATACGCATCTTTGTATCTTCAGTATCTAAAAACATTCAATAAATATTAGTGTTACAAAATGCTGAACAACCCTTCAGCTTGAACATTGCAAAATTCTTTCATTTAAAGAAAATATGACCAATGGAAAGTTTTTAATAACTTTAAAAAGCTCTTAAATTGTTTTGAAGGGAAGACGTCATTTTTAAGGACTATTGACTTTGGATATTTTTTTTCTTTTTGGAACAGGGCATCTATGTACTTCAGGACAACAAATTTCGTTTGCTTACTCAGATGTCTGCAGGAAAACAGTATTTAGAACATGCATCTAAGGTATTTAATGGAATAGAAGATTGAGGTTTTCTATTATGAAACAAGTAGAACTGTAAGGAAAAGGACAATGCCAATCGCAACAGACTTTTGAATTTAAAATGAGTTTAGAGTATTTTTTGTTTGTTTGTTCAAACACTTCTCTGTTAAATAGGAGAAAGATGTTCATCATATTAAAATAACTTATATTAACCTGTAGCTAAATTGGCTTATGATGGTCAATTAAACTATAACTAAATGGCATTGAAATGTAGATTCTTGGTAGATTCTAAATGGTAGATTCTTAGATATAGCCTAGATACATCAGAAAAGATACTCTAGCTTATAAAACTGGTATTCGCTGTGGAAAATTGTTCACCTCAGAGTTTATAATCTCCTTTAGTAAATTAAAAAAAAATTTTTAATATAGTTAACATTTCTTTCTTTCTTTTTTTTTTTTTAATGAAGTGTTTTATTTATTTATTTTTTTGTGAGGAGGATCAGCCCTGAGCTAACATCCATGCTAATCCTCCTCTTTTTGCTGTGGAAGTCTGGCTCTGAGCTAACATCTGTTGCCAATCCTCCTCCTTTTTTTTCCCCAAAGCCCCAGTAGATAGTTGTATGTCATAGTTGCACATCCTTCTAGTTGCTGTATGTGGGACGCGGCCTCAGCATGGCCAGAGAAGCGGTGCATCAGTGCACGCCCGGGATCCGAACCCGGGCCGCCAGTAGCAGAGCGCACGTACTTAACCGCTAAGCCACGGGGCCAGCCCAACGTTTATTTCTTAGAATACATGTTTTGTGTTAAGTGTATCTTTGTTTCTGGGTTCTGCGTAGTTTTTGTTTTTCAATCTCAGGTGGGAATCAATAAGTGGATCAGATGTATGAGAGAAAGCTGACAAGTTTTAATGTAAAGGTTCCTTCAAAGTTACTAATATCTGGGGCAGTATAAGCTGCTATTTATCTGTAAAAATTTGTCCATACCAAAATTATATAACACAAAGGCAGGATAGGTGTAATGGAGAGAGCATGGACTTGAGATCAAATAAATCTAGATTTTAAGCTAACTTCACAACTTATAGGTTGGTGACATAGGGTAAGTTACATAACCCCTCTGGACCTTAGTTTCCTCTTTAATAAAATTGGTTATAATAATACCTATATTATAAATAATCCATAAGATAGCTTCTAGCGCAAAATTTCATGACTCCAGGTCTAATTACTTATCAGTACCCATTTACATATATTAATTATAAAATAATAATATTATATATTATTCATAGATATATAGTATTGTTGAATATCATGCAGTACAAAAATGTAGATAATCACGCGTTCCTTGGATTATTCATTTTTAGTTCCCGCTCTTCTCCTGGCTTTCTCTGCTGTAGCTCAGTTCCATTCCCTCTCCTTGTTTCAATATGACGGGGTGTCTCAGTTCGGGCACTATTGATATTTTGAACTGGATAATTTTTTGTTGTGCGGGCTATAAGTTTGAACAAGTCAAGATTCTTGGTTGTAGCAAGCAGAAACCAATGCTGATTGAATGGAATAATATTAGTTGGCTTACAGAATTGATGGGAAGGCTCAGAAAACAGACAAGCATTGTGGGAGATTAGAGCAGCTCGAAAGACAGCCCAAATCACTCCACAGGGAGGTCGGATTAGAATCCTTTGGGTAGGACCAGCCCCGTGGTTTAGCGGTTAAGTGTGCGCGCTCTGCTACTGGCGGCCTGGGGTTCAGATCCTGGGCACGCACCGATGCACCGCTTCTCCGGCCATGCTGAGGCCACGTCCCACATACAGCAACTAGAAGGATGTGCAACTATAACATACAACTATCTACTGGGGCTTTGGGGAAAAAAAAAAAAGAGGAGGATTGACAATAGATGTTAGCTCAGAGCCGGCCTTCCTCAGCAAAAAAGAGGAGGATTAGCATGGATGTTAGCTCAGGGCTGATCTTCCTCACAAAAAAAAAAAAAAATCCTTTGGGCAGCACTGACATTAGGCACATGCCACCTTTGCTGCTTCTAGAACCAGTTCTAACCTGTTTCCAGCTTGTTTTCGTCACTCACTCTAGAGTCGAGAGTCCTGTACTGGAGAACCCAGTTGGCCAAGCTCAAATCCCTTGTCCATGTTTTATTTGTCAAGGAGCTGGGAAATCTTTTAACAATCGGAATTTTCAGTAATTTGAAAAATTCTTCTGCAACCCTTTTTGTAAACAGCAATTACTTATTAATAGCAAGGCTTAACTAAATGTCATATTTATCAATAGCTTTACTGTCTTAGTAAATCTTTAATATTTTTTACATTTTTTTGTTCCTTTTAGTATTTAGCATTTACATGTGGCTTAATTAGAGGTGGCTTATCAAACTTGGGGATAAAGAGCATTGTAACAGCTGAAGTGTCTTCAATGCCTGCCTGTAAGTTGAATTCACATTTCTTAGAAATGTTTTTAGTGAGTTTTTTTTTCGGGTCTAGTGTTTTTTTGTTTATTTGTTTTTGTTAACTTAGAGGAAACTTAAAATGCTAAAACCATTTTGCTTTTATCAATTTTAACATTTAATGTAGTAATATGTAGTATACTTATATTCAGTGATTTTTGAATTCATAATGGACAGTGATTTAAGAAATGTGCTAAAGAAATTCAGATTTATAAGGATTTAAAGGATGATTCTTAACTTTTAAAGGGAAAATTTCTGCAGTATTCTTTTAAGATAGCAAATTTTCCTATAGCATTGAAAGTGTTTTTTTAACATTTTTCTGGAATATATATATAATATAAAGCTAGATAAAACCAAGTAGACTTTTATCGCTAAACTCCTTTCCAAAGATCTTTTCACCAGAGCTACCAACCAAGAATAAATTTGACTTGAATATCACTGTGATATCACTTTTCACAATGATAATTAGCAACAAAATACCCAAAAGGTAGGAATCACAAAAAGAAACAAAGGCGCCTATTCATAAATCAGATAATCATCTCATAAAAATGGAATTGACTTTGTTGAATATTGTGAAGAGTGTGAGTTGTTGTTTGATATTGCAGATTTCTTGATTGAAACAACTTCCTAAATAGAGCATAAAATTGATGTTTAGGTTTGTTATCCTTGTACCTAAAATCAAAGAATGATTTTTCATGTTTTCTTTTTTAGGTAAATTTCAGGTGATGATACAGAAGCTGTAGAACGTACTGAAGTGCAAGACTTCAACAGTGTAAAGAGATAAATTGTTCATGTATAAAGTATTTCAAGTAGCAATGATTTAATTACATTGTTGGACATTTGTATTGATATAAACTATTTGCTGTCTCATATAATGGAAGATACACTGTTAAGCAGGAGTAAAGTTGTATTTTATCAGTTTAACACAGATCAAGTTAAAGCAGATAATGAGACATTCTATCATAACATACACTTTACTGAAACTCTTCAGAATGAAGCCTGATTTCAAGTAACTAAACACCAAGATGTAGGACTCTTATTTTCAACATTCTGATTTGCTTAGAATGATGTGTATTTAACCACACATGGAGAAGCAAAACTCAGGGTTTGATAAATTAGCATAAAAAAAAGTATGCACAGAATCATTTTTTTAAGAATGAACAAATTTTGGTTTTGTTTTAGTTATTTAAGAAAGCAAACAGTACACTAAATTAAACTTAGTTTTTATTTTATTGCGTATAATTTATTTCTATTAAAAATTTTTATGGCTGTACAAGGATTTCATTATGTACATTGTGTGTGTTTGTGTGTGTGAGATATATATATATATATATATATATCATATCTGACTGCCTAAATTGCTTAAAAACTTGATTTCACTTTAATAGAATTCAGTCCTTGAGAGCTCCATTAATGTAGTAAAAGTGAAATATAGATTAGTTTAAATGTGAATTCAGTGACTCCATGGCCAAAGAATATTAGGTATTTTAAGAAGGAATTTTTATACTTACTCCTGTTACAGTCTTGACTTACAGCTTTTCTCCCCATGTGTGGAAGTGCTGGTGAAGGTTCTAACATCTTTGTCTTTATTCCCTTACTACTTTGCCTCAAGGGCAGAGGGGTGGATAATTGGATTAGTCACACCAATGTTCATTGGACCATATCTTCTCACTGGGTTGGGGTCAGTGCTCATCTAGTATATCTCTCACCTCCTCTTCCATCTGATGACATGAAAGGCCAAGCATGAAGATGAAAGCCATCACACTGAGGAGACCAGGCTGCACAGATAGAAAGCACCTGAATTGTGCTTCTGAATTAACCAATCCTGGAACTGCTTTACCTTTGGACTTTTTGTTATGTAAGATAATAAATTCCTTGTATTGCTCAATCCACTTTTGATTGTGTATTTTGTTACTTGTAGCCAAAAAGAAGTCTCTCTGAGTAGAGACAAGGGGAGAGTTAGGTTATATAAGAAATAGTATGGGAAAATTGAATTTCCTTTTTTCTGTGTGTGTGTAGGTGGGGGAGACACAAAGGTTTACATGTAAAACAATAGAACCATAAAGTACTAAAGAAAATATGAAATGAGTTTTATAATCTTGTAGTAGAGAAGGCATTTTCAAAACGTAGAAAATCATAAAAGAAAACAGTAAAAAAAATTAGTAACATATCTTCAACAAATGGTTGGGAAAACCGGATATCCACATGCAAAAGGATCAAATTCGACTCTTACACCGTACACAAAAATCAACTCAAAGTTGTTTAAAGACTTAGACTTAAAACCTGAAACTATAAAACTCCTAGAAGAAAACACAGGGGAAGGGGTCATAACGATCATGGCAATGA